TAGACTAAGCGTCCCGAATAACCTCTGTTGAGGAAGCCCTACTTACTGCCTTCTCGTGACGGAGGTGTTTTACAACCAAAGTGACAAGACGAAAAGCCGATATCCGGGGCTATAAACCGGTTGATGGACCACTGGTAGTTCACCTAGGGGAGTTGGCTAAAAACCCTGATTCCAAACCAACCAAGAGGCGTACGAATCACACACATTTTTTAGGTTGTGGCAGTGGTCACCGATTCGATTAGTCATTGAGGTGTATTGGGCACCTCGGATGTTTGACCCCATCCGAAGGACATACGATCCGATGAACTGGACACCGGCCCCCAGTTGATTGCGGTTTTCACACACCATGATGCTGCCTTGCAAGTCAGACTTTGGTTAGTCGAAGGATCCAGTTGTGGATTCCTCAAGAAAATTCGCCTGCCTTGGCCTGGGCAACGTGGCAGTATTCAGCCCACAAGCCAATCATGGAACATTTTTTCTTTGTTAAAAAGATTATTATACTGTGAGTTGCCTGGCACACAGTCTGTCCTCAGGCAACTGTAAAATATAAATATAATAATAGATCCAATTAGTACTGAAAGTTCAATGAATAGGGACTCAGTATCACAAGGTTAGTTCAATGAGTAATTTAGTTTATTGAGTCTCTTGAATGTCTCGAGGTTTTTATCTTTAACCAACAGAACATTTCTAGTATAGTTTTAGTGGTGAGGAAAATATACGGGAATCTTCACACAGCATTGCAACAAACAAAACATTCTCCATGCATGCGGTAATCTTTCGAAGCTCAGTAAACTTTTCACATTACACATCTAGTTACTGTTTCAAACCTAAGTAGTGTCGCTCTTTGAGATAAATTAAGCGAGGTTGCGGACTCAATCACCGCAACTGGGTTCAACAATACCATCCGCTTCGATTTGAGCATTGTTCATTCAGGATGAGGTGTGCGTATCTAACAGGGTTTACGATTATCAAACTTAAACGATTGAACTTGTATCTATTATGCTATTTACAAAAATGGAACCAACCGGAGGGTTTTACTGGAGCTTCTGTAACCGATTCCTTGGCAGCTACCGCGTGATCTTGCTCTTGTCCTTCCGTGGATGATGCAGACTGTACGGTCTGAGTATCCGGTAGGGTAACCGCTTCAGTATGTCCAATTTCCGCTTCCTCAAGTACATGAGCAGTTGCAAGGGAGTTTGTCGTGGCTGAATCTAGCTTCACATTAGACTCGTTGGGACGGAGAGAGGGACTGAAGAAAAAAAGGAGAAAGCCGTGTAAATGACGACCAGCACGGATTTAGTCGTTTCACACTACATAGAAGCACTTGTGAGCATGATGAAGGATGGCTGAGGGAAATATGGAACGAAATTCCGCAACTGATCGGTCAGTGTCCGGTCGACCTTTACGAACCATGCTAACCTATGGTATTCAAAGCAGGGTATAATCATTGCTTCAAAACTACTGTTGGTATGAATTTTTTGCAATCTCAACGCGAAACTGGATAGCTCTTTCTTATTACACGGGGTGAACCCCATGGTTGCAAAAACCTGCTATTCTGTGATGGAAACTCGTGAACGAGGACCCGGAACCTAGAGTAGCAAACGACTTCATATTCCATTAGGACAGGCGTGGCATTGAACCGGATGACAGCAAAGCTGCCTACCACAAAATTTGGGTGGCGGTGGTGGGATTAGATTAGAGGTACGTGAGTGAAATATGGTTTATGGAGATTTGTTAAATACGAGATAATCGCTGCTACAGAGTTAAATCCGGTCAGTGAGTAGCTTCAATAATCAAAGATGTCACAATGCTGTTGCTAGAGATTATAGCAGTTAACACACCAGCGAGATGAACCGATAAAAGTCAGTGTTACCACACGCCTTAAAGTAATGAACAGCATATGGGGGAAGCCCCGTAGTTAGGTGTACCTGCTGTGCAGTGACCTAACGTAGAAATCGGGATTATGGGTAGCGAACCGGTCATATAGGTCACGTTAGACTACCAAGATGAGGATCTTGGGACGATCGTACCCCATGATTAGAGGCATTGAGTGATATGGCTGTGTCGTAAACAGTGGCTTTCGTGCATCTTTTCAATTTTTCTGCAACATGAGTCCGCTGAACTTCTCCATTTCTTATTCGACTCCACTTTGAACTTTTCTGTCTTCTCCTATTCTTCATCCAAATGGGCAGCCAAAAGACAACAACCAAAACCGGCGCACGAAAGTGTATGGTCAATGGTTACTCGAACTCAAAAATTGAACATCAGTAGAGCACATCCGCCGGTGAGAATTTAAATCCTGTCCCACACATGGGAGTTGTATGCACAACTGCACCACTACTGAGAGTAAAGCTCAAGTCTAATGCTTCCCAAGTATATGGTTGACTAGTGAAGACGAGAATTGTGTATAAAAATGAAATCTGAAAGACAGTCAGTCAAATCAGCATCATCTATCCGACATCACCAAACACAAGTGACTGAGTTAACGATTTTTTTTATTACACATTACTGCGTGATAAACAGCAAACGGGGTTACCCCCCCCCACAGTCACGAGGACCTGCTGTTAAGTGATGGTAACCGGCAACGCAAACCCCGAAACTTCCAGTGGCGGACCACATGAGGCCCCTCTAGATTAGGCTTAGTATTGAACTATGAAATAGACTAGTTTTGACTGGTAGAAGTTCAAAACCAGTGAGCTTCTCGACAGCATTGCTGCAGCTCAATGGGTCAGGGGGTGAAGAATGAGGATTTGGAAGAGTTGCCGACATGAAATTTCTATCGCATTACTTCAATTATGAATTATGCCAGAAGGTCAAACTTGACGGATTATGAAAAATATACCATGAAAATATAGTTTTAACCGCAACCTTTTGGTATTACTTTGTTAAAACCGAAAAACACCGGTTGTTCTTATCTAGCAACAACTTTCGACACAGCTCTCGTCAAACGGCTACATAGTATTCTGGTTCAAATTGGGGAAATTGACCCAAATTAACCATATAGTTGTAAGTTACCGTTGATGTGGTTCAGTACAAAATTGCAGGTCCCACTGGACCACCTGTATTGAGTCGGACTATGCACTAGTTCTTTTGCGCTCCACTCTTCGACTCATTGGTTATGGGCAGAAATCGCCTCTTCAATTAGTTCATCATCGTCTGCGCGATCCAGCTGTCTGCGCATTTGATGAGGAGAAGCTAGGAGAACCGCGACAAAGTAAAGTAGACCAACAGTGGAATCAGATTAGATTTGTGAAGCACTCAGCAGCGAACTTTGCTTGTGGGGCTGAGCCCGAAGCTCGCCGAAGGCATTGGATCTCTCAGGAGTCAGTAATCCTGATGGATCAAAAGCGAAAGATCCCGATCTGCCAGGATCAGCATAAGGATCGGTGTTGCCTGCAACGTCAACTCAGAAATAGCCTCAAGAAATATCGTGAAAATTGGTGGGCCGAAATAGCTAGTGTAACGGAAGTAGCTTCTATATCAAGGAAAAATAAAAGACTATTTTCTTTTCTTTTTTTCTTTTTCATTTTACTTCCTTTTTTATTGAATATATACAAAGATACAATTTTCAGGAAGGGGGAAGCGGCCAATCAAAGGGCTGCCATTCAATACACACGATGGGGAAAATCAGGTGGTGGGATTCGAATACACATCCCCGGGGTGATAATTTGGTGACGTTACCACCGGGCCATCACATGATACGCAGCACCGGAGGTCGTCGCATACCGGTCAGTGAGACCATTTGCGATAAAAGTGGACAGAGTATCCACAATAAAGAACAACGACTTGATCGCTGGGCAGAGTATTTCACTGAACAGTTCGATTGGCCCACTGCTAATGTGGTCATTCCAGCAATCGCGGCGGAAACTCCATGGGTGATAACATGCGCGCCCCATCAGAATCGAGAGTACTAAGCTGTACTCAATCCTTAAAGAGAGAGAGAAGGCTGCGGGATCTGATAGGCTTCTCCCCAATCTTTTTAAGGTGGGCGGAGAATCTCTTGTCGACTCAATTACCAGCTTACTTTGCAGCATTTGGACGGAGGAACGTATCCCTTTGTCCTGGAGTGAATCGTTGATTGTCACGATCTGCAAGAAGGGATCACGCAACGACTGCACCAACCACTATGGGATTAGTTTAGTTCCGATACTCACAAAAGTATTGACTACTGCGTCACCTGACACCCTTAAGGGAGAGGAATATCCGCGAACAACAAGCCGGATGCCGATCAGGTCGCGGGTGCATCGACCAAATCTTCACTCTGCGTCAGGTCCTCAAACAGCGTCACACACATCGTCGGCCAACAATCGCAGTGTTCCTAGACCTTAAAAGAGCCTTCGATTCAGTTGACCGTGAAGCTCTTCTGGGGTCGCTGCTCCGCAAAGGAATGCCGCGGAAGTATGTAAACCTATTGCGGTCGTTGTATCTGCATACTTCTGGTAGCATAAGGGTTTACGGTGGGCTAAGTAAATCGTTTGAAACCGGTTGCGGTGTACATCAAGGGTGCCCTATTTCGCCATTCCTGTTCAATTTCGTCGTAGACGAAGTACTGGAGAACGCACTTAGTGGTCTCCAAAACGTAGGTATTGAATGGGCAGCTGGAGAAAAGCTGTCCGATTTAGAGTACGCTGATGACACCGTTTACCTGTTTGAATCTATGGAGGGTGCAAAATGCGCTCTTGACAGACTAACATTCTATCTGTGACGTCCTGGGTTCAATCCCCAGCTGGGTCGATCGGTTCGTATTGCTGATGAGACCCAATCAGGTCGAAACAGCTGTTCAATGCTTCCTAGCTAACGCCTCATTTACACGACGAATTCATCACATTAACAAATCAAATCGTCCATTAATCTTTCCTGTACCTAACACACTCCAAATCCAAAAATTTCACTGTTCTAACTTAAGATTTGTTGCCTCCCGTTACACAACCCAATCCGGTCAAATAAGACTTTCAAACAGGTTCTAGTGAGAAGACAACTGCGACAGAGCGAATTTTTATTGAAAGGGAATACTAGGGAAAAAGTGCTGTATTTAAGGCGTTGTTTCCAGAACGTACAAAAAAATCGCATTATTCTGTCCATGAACTTTGTTTTCAAAAATTCAACCCGAAACCAAGAACCCATCGGAAGTGGCAATTTTCAGGGAAATTCGGGTTATATTTTTCTTACTCTCAACATTTCGAACTGTACGACACCATTCTGGGATTGAATTGAAGTTTTGTTAACGGTGCCCGGTTTCTTTCTGTCAGACGATTAGAAGAAATGCTCATCGCTGAATTACAGAAGCCGGTATAGTCTGTCGTGTTTCTTCCCTCTGTCGGGGGTTGATGTAGGTAAACCGAAAGTTGACAAAATCATGTAGGAAGATAATTGTGATCTTAGAGTTCTCACTTCCTTACATTCTTCGCATGGCGCATGCAACCGAATTATAAAGTGCAAAGCCTCATTTTGGCAGAATTCTACCAATCAACTAGCAGCCGTTTCCGTAGTGTTTTGCTGGCACTATTTGATCTGGAGTAAATGAGGATAAGACCCCGAATCACCGGTTGAATTGCTCCTCCTCGTTCTGATATTGTTCCGTGTAGATGGTTAACTAGAAGGCATCCGTGACTTGTTGCACTGCTAGAGAGGCTCTATTTGGTGATTGCAGATTCGGAGTGCGCAGATTTGGAAACAGGAATGATTTATGCGATTGTTCTTTCTATTTTTGATTTATGGATTACCCGCTTGAAGATACTCACAAGTCCTGCTACTTGGTCGGTGGACTGTGAGTGGTACAGTCCAGAGAGGATTTCGTGGATATCATTCTACTCATACAATTCCAAAAATTGGCCAGATGAGAACTGTGTACTGTTGTCACCAACGAGCGTTTTAGGAACATCGAAGCAACTGAAGAGGTAGTGGGGGGTTGAAATAGTTAGCGTTTGGCGTTGCGAAAAAACCCAGATCACTTGGTGAATGCTTCGACAGTGACAAGTTAGGGTCGGTTGTTGATAGGGCGTGCAAACTGTGCAATGTGAATACGCGATCGGAGTTTGTCGAGAATTAGACAACTGAACAGCTTGGCTTTCGAAGACAGAGGCGCATTTTTAACACGCTCAAATGAGTTCCTTCAGCTGTTTGTCGGTAAACGGGCTATGGACATAACTACCACCAAGTGCTTTCGTTCAGTTGATTTCCAGGCGCCTTGTGTGAGATAGCTGAAGCACTCTTTTTGTAGCAGCTTTTGAATCAAGACCATTTAGGCGAACGAAATGCAACCATTTACAGTCAACGATTAATCCTTCCGTTGGAACCATTGGCGCGATTAGTCAGAGCCACCTGGCTTTGATCTAAGGGTGCGGAGTAAATGTGCGACTTTCGTGAGCACTGAATCAAGCATGTTTCTTTCGAACGTATTCAACCGGCACAAGCATTTTGCGTAGACTATCGATAACGAATGATTTGACACTCGGTTCCGCCGATATCGAGGCAATGACACTTCTTTCCAGCTCTGATCTTTGAGAACCGATGGGTCTTGACAGCGCATCAGCTGGACCAGTGTACCGATAACGCATATCAAAATTTTCGGCAAGAAGAATTGGTGCCCAACGTTGAAGGTGGATAGCAGTCTAGACTAGAATGTACTTTAAGAGCTTAAAACCACAACCAGTGTCTTGTAATCAGTTAAGAGTGTGAATTTACGGGAGTAATGCGTCCGGTAAAAATTCATAACGGCGAACACGATGACCAGGGCTTCCTTTTCAATCTGCCAGTAGTCGCACTTTATCGCAGTTAAAGATCCAGTGGCATGGGAAACGGCCTTCTATTACTTATCTGGAAATCAATGAGATTGCCCCCACCAAATCCCTCATTTAAAGCATCAGCTACCACGCTGAGAAGAAGCAGATCTGAACCAAGCATAGCCTTAGTACGATCAAAGGTATTTTAGTGGTCCGTAGACTAATTTCATCGTCAGCAAATGACTAAAAGTCGGATCATCAGACTTTAGACGAGATGTACGTGCCGCCGTAGCACAGTGAGAAACCGGGTCTAACAGTGCAAGAAGCTAAACCCAATTTGGCTCGGTCCACAAGTCCTGGGGGCTGACCTGCAGAAATGTACCGTAGCGTATCACAAGACCCAAGAATAATCTCAAAGTGATCAAATCCCTTGGTAGGGGCATATTCTTAATGGTTGTGATGTTTTCTGAGTAGGGTCGGCAGCAGTGTTTGTTCAGAGTAAGACCGAAATAGTTGAATAAATCATACAACCTCTCTCAACCACAATCTAGGACTCGTCTCAGCACTATATTCAGTCGTTTGAACGTGTTCCTTTTTGGTCGGCTCATCGCAATAATGTTATCCAAATATGCAATATAACATCCCCGTGCTACCGATAATCGATATCGTGTTCATCACCTGCTAAAAGTCGGGATGGTCCAGATCTGACAACAAAATGCAGACCTTTGTACTGAAACATCCCACAGTGACTGTTTCTCGTTGGTAATTCCTTTGAGACTTGGGCAACTCCCAACTGGTGAAGTGCATCCGACAAGTCGAGTGAAGTGAAGCAAGTGCAACCATTCAATTTAGCGAAAATATTTTCTGGTGTGGTATTCCAACGAGACGGTCGGATAAGCTGAAAAATCAGCTGAAATGCGTCATTAGTTTTCTTGATCAACAGAATCAGAGCCGTTCGTGATGAGTGACTGACAGGTTTGATGACACCATATTGCTGCAATCGTTCTAGTTCCGCGTCGACTTATTTGATGGGAGCACAGGATACACGTCAATTGGATTTGAACCATGACGTGGAATCTGGTTCCAGCGAAAGCGACGAATGAAACTTTGTGCAGTAACCGAGGTCTTAGTTGAATAGGTGTTTTTTTATTACACACCTAAGTGTGATGAACAGCAGACGGGGTGAAACCCATAGTCACGAGGACCTGCTGTTCAGTGGTGGCAACTGGTGAAAGAAGCCCCGGGACTTGCAGTGGCGAACCACATAAGGCTTCGATAAGTTAGGCGTGGTATTGAAGCAGATGATAGCAGAGCTGTCTACCACCAAAGTCGGGTGGCGGTGGCGGGGCTCGAACCTCAGTGGGCTACAGAGATTGCATTACTTTTGGAGCCGAAGATTGAATGTATTGAGACTTGATAGCACACCTCATTCACAAAAACATCAAACAAACATCCAAACGTTTTGATCCAATCAAGACCAAGGAGATTCAGGTCAGATCGATCAGTCAATTGGTACGTTATTTTTGCCGCTATATTACGGAAGAAGTCACCGTTGATTTCCTCGAACAATTTGAGCTCACCACCGTAAGCATTATATTTTGCTTACTTGGTGAACAGAACAATTTATGGCTTCCCATTTGGGTCCATGCTACTATGAAGTTGTGTACAAGTGTAATTTGCTATTTTTCATCACCAATGAGCACGGTGCTGGGTTTCGACTTTAAGTGGCAACCTGTTTGAAAAGCAGCAAATATTTAAACTGCTTTTGAGTATTGTTTGCTGCCTACGAACCGGTTTCTTTTGGGCTCGTAATAACATATCCTTCCTTGTGAACTCGTTTGTGCCTCTAAAAGTCTCAGTGTGGTCGGGAGTGAGTGTATAGGGTTGCGGCTGGTCACCTTGATTCCAAACCAACCTAGAGGCGTACAAACTACACACATCTTCCCAGTTGTGGCAGTTATAGTCACCGGCTCGATTGGGCATCGAGGTGTATTGTGCAACTTGGACGTTCGACCCCGTCCAAAGGGCGAATGATACGATGAACTGAACATCCGCTCCCAATAGATAGCGGTTTTCACACCACCCCGCTGCCTTACGTGTCAAGCTCTGGTTAAGCAAAGGCTCCGGTTGTAGATTCCTCAAGCGAATTCACCTGTCTTGGCCTGGGCAACCTGGGAGTATTCCGCCCACATGCAGCTAATGGAACGTTTTTCTTTTTAGACAGATTACTATACCATGATTTATTTGGCACACAGTCTGGATTCAGACTCGTGTGCAAATGTAGTATATACATATACCTCGTTTTTTCCACTTCTAAAAATGTACTTCTTGAAGTGCACAGAAAGCCTTTAGCCACACCACATACATGAGGAGGATGGCATTTCAGAGGTATGAAGTTGAGCAGTGATGGCTGATTCCTGAATCGACGTAGACGTCGATGGGCCTGGATACTATCAGTTATTCATTTATGCATACGCGATCCTTCTCCAGTCACTGATGAGTGAGATTATTCAACCATTCGGGCACTTCATAGTACCTACTGATTGAATGCAGATCAGTCTTGTGTCCATTCTGTTTATGGACTAAATTGATGAGTCTGCTAAAGACAACAGTTTGTTTCACATCTTCTGAACCGACGATGCTAGAAACATCTGGCGTACAAAACGCACACGAAAATTCATGATTTTCACGAAACGGAAGTTAAGTGAGAGTCAGTGAACTCTGAATGACTGTAAGAATCACAGGTTAATGACAATACAGGGCATTTCTATTGGAACAATAGATCGTATCGTGCAATGTTCGGAAAATAATTTCTACGTTGTTGGAAAACGATCCCAAAGGTTATACAGTAGGTTCACTTGTCGCATTACTGTGGTGCTCCTAAGCTCACTTTTTTATTACACACCACTGTGAGATGAATAGCAGATCCCATAGTCAAGAAGACCTACTGTTCAGTGCTGTAACCGGCAACCTGAGACCCGAGACTTGGAGTGGTGAACAACATAAGGCCGCGACAGTTTCGGTGTGGTATTGAAGCGGATGACAGCAAAGCTGCCTACCAGCAAAGTTTGATGGTGGTGGCAGGAATCGAACCTCGGACCACATGGTACAAAGCAAGTCGGTGACAGTAAAGAAACCATTGCGCTACCACCACCGGTACAAGATACTAGACTAATTCTGAATCCACCGCAAGTCCTGAGACCTGACCTGATTGAGTGAAGGTAGCAATCCCGATGCGTAGAAAACATACACCAATAAGAGAAAAATCCCGTGGGAAACTTGAATAAATGAATGAATGAACTTTTCAGTAGTAATGTTGGGATAGTGATCTTTTTAATCAGACCGCATCCCTGAACACTTTTTAAGCATAAAGACCTAAAATGAGATCATCAAGCTGAGCTCTGGAAAAATCCTCCCAAGCTCCAATAGTAATCACAGCAATCACATGAAAACTACAGGAAAAAATAACAAACACATCCACATATCGCCAACGAAAATCCGTCCTAAGCATAACCACAATTTGAACAATAAATAAACGAATGAACCAGTGGATAAAGAACTCCAGAATTCATCGAATATAAAGGCTTTTTATTGGTACTACATTACCATATCCCGGGGAAATTTAATCAGTCAACAAAAAACATGGGAAGTGATTGTCAGCATCGGACAATATATGAACAGAGTGTACCAAATGAAATAGTATTTTGATCGCAGACCTTTAAGCAGATTACATGTGGTGCTTACTCATCCTGGACACATGAGAGAGGAACAAAAAAGACAGCCAATGGTCATCATCAATCATTATGCAGCTCGACAGAAAAAGTTTTCAGTACAAGACAGATGAAATGAGACAACAACAAAAAAGCAGCTGGTCTCATAAATAGACAGGAGAGATGGATGGGTAATAGGAGAGCGCTTACCGCTCCAAATTTCGCCTCGACTCTCTGGCCAAATCGGCATAGCTTGGTTCACGATTGACATACCAACGAAATGCGAAGATTCCGCCAACAAGTGTAGCAATCCCGGCAGCTAGGAGAAATCCGGAGAATTTCTGGCTCGGTTCGCTCTCATATCTATTCTTTTTATCCGGAGCGGATGAAGTAGATCGGTATGGGATAAAAGTACTATCCACGATATGATAATCATGAACCGTCACTCTGGGGCACATGGCTGTCGTTCGCAAACTATGCGAAGGGAACTTTGATAATCCCACATGGCTATAAAAAGCCCCTGGCCGACAAATTAGGGAGGGGAGTCTCTTAAGTGGACCGGATCGCACGAACAGCGCCTAAAAAGCAAACAATATGATCAGTAGCACCGGCAAATGTATACAGAACAATAACAATAGCAAACATACTACTGAAAAATCGTCAACAACATTGAACCTACACGTCACTCTATTCGGTTCGCAATGCTACAATGCACCCTATTGCTGTCGGTCGCGGCTTTATCGAGATGCAGTCACTCATCCCCCAGTGACACAGTGGTTTAGTCTCCGTCACCGGGGTGCTTTGGACCCTATGGTCCGACGTTCGAGCCCCGCCACCACTACCGAATTTGGTGGCAGGCAGCTTTGTTGTCGTCCTGTTCAATATCCCTCCCCCGGCCCAGCAGGGCCTTATGTGGTTCGCCACTCCAAGTCCCGGGAATGGGGTTGCCAGTTTCCATCAATGGACAGCAGGTTCTCGTGACCAAGGGGTTCACCTCGTCTGCTGCCCATCACACTAAAGTGTGTAATGAAAATAAAAACACCGTGATCAATTAGTGACATCTCCGAAGCATTGACTATGTTTAGTGTTAATACCGGAGAAACAGTGGCGAAGCAAACATTCAATGAAATAATAGAATCAATTTGCCTTGTGCCAATAGGATAAGTTTTTTTCTATCATTACACGCCTTAGTACAGTGCGGCCTCCGAAGGCCTCGGTATGGTCGGGGGTGGGTGTCCAGGGTTGCGGCTGACCACTCTTCCGTTGCACCTCATGAAATGCTCCAGACGACCAAGCGTCTCTAATAGCATCTGCTGAGGAAGCCCCATTCACTGCCTTCTCGTGGTGGAGATGCTTTCCCACGAAAAGCCGACATCCGGGACTATAACCGGGTTGGCAGACCACTGGTAGTTCACCTAGGGGAGTTGCCCAAAAAACGTGATTCCAAACCAACCAACAAGAGGCATACGAACCGCACTCACCCACACTTTCTTCGGTGTGATAGTGGTGGCCGGCTCGATTGGGCATCGAGGTGTATTGTGCAACTTGGACGTTCGACCCCGTCCAAAGGGCGAATGATACGATGAACTGAACATCCGCTCCCAATAGATAGCGGTTTTCACACCACCCCGCTGCCTTACGTGTCAAGCTCTGGTTAAGCAAAGGCTCCGGTTGTAGATTCCTCAAGCGAATTCACCTGTCTTGGCCTGGGCAACCTGGGAGTATTCCGCCCACATGCAGCTAATGGAACGTTTTTCTTTTTAGACAGATTACTATACCATGATTTATTTGGCACACAGTCTGGATTCAGACGTGCGTGAAAGATGTATATATTATAATGAGTGGTAGAAACCGTGAATTTCATTGTCTCGGGGACGTACCACCCGACCACAAGGGAGTAGCTAACTCCTAAGTCCCCAATAAACCAAATGTGACAATGAGTTGAACGACAGCAAACCCGTCTGCCACTAAAGCTGGACAGCGGCTGTGGAGTTTGAACCTCGCACCTAGAGGCACAAAGCGCACTGGTGAAAATGACTTGAACAGTTCGACAGCCATGACCCCAAGTAAGATTACCCATTGGGTTTCAGACCGTACATTGTCTGCACTTCGTGAACACTAGTGGGACGAGGGTTTTGGTGATCAGTTTAGGAAGCCACGCAGAATATTGAAAAGCTCTACTTTGGCACATCTATCAATTCGTTCCCTTTCAATGCTTGACTGGGATACGAGAAGGATATCTGTATGCTTACAGATTTTAGAATAGACGGTGAAGAATTGGAATCTGAGGTGTGAACGTTGCATACAACAGGTGTTTGCGAGTCCTCAGCCACAAGGCAAAGTGTCTCCAACTATTGACGATCAAAAGGAAAAAACATCCTCTTCTCCGTCTGATTCGTAAGTCTAGTCTAGTAGCGTTATAGGCCCCGTTATCATATGGAACTCTGGTCTTTTAACCTTGAGTTATTGACGGTATCTAACTCTGCTGTTCTAATGACATGTCGTTAAAAGTCTCCGCTCCTACTAGGGTCGGCGAAACCTTGTCCTAATAAGAAATGCTTCTACGGTGTGCATCCTTTAAAGTATATGCTGGGTCTGGCAGCTATCAGTGAAGTTCACGGCATTGTTTTTTGCTGTACGATTATCCTAAGAAAGTCCTAGTGATCGTCTTTTCTTGGCGAGAGTTGATGAGCGGCCGGCAACTAGCTCATCTGGAGCGGATGGAAAGTCCTGATCCTACGCATGTTAACAAGAGGCATATGAACCGAAAGTGAGATATCTTGGTCAAATCTATCAAAACAACCAATTTCTCAATGAAACTTCCCTTAGAAGCTCACTCGGTGGACTCTGGTGAATTCTAAGGAAAACCTATCGGGGCAGTCAGCTAACATGCTAATTGGTGGATGCCATATGCCTCTGTAAGTTGGACGGGTAATTCGAATGTGAAAAGATCAGTGCTATCGATGTGTCCTCGTAGCTCAGCTGGTAGAGCGTGTGCGTACAAAGCGTAGTCGGCGTTTATGTGTGGGTTCGCATCCCACCGAGGCTACTGAACTTCTCACAATCGGCATAACAAATTAGTAACGGTCTCGACTGGGCCCAAAAGAGTATTGGGCATTCTGAACGTGAGAGCATAATCCGTCTGGGAGCAACGTTATCTCCACTGGACTCAACCCGTCTGTCACAATCGTGTGTAAAACGCTTACGGTAAGCTGATTGATTGAGTGACTTTCCGGCGAGTTAACAGATGCTGCAGTTTCCTATATTCGGTGATGTAATTGCTTCTATTTTTATTTATGTTAAATTAGTTTTCGACTCAGTAGTCCTTATTCACAGAGCGCCTGAGGCACAGATGCTTCGTGGGTGGTGGTGGCGCAGTGGTTTAGACGCTGTCACCGGCGTGCTTTGGACCCTATGGACCAAGGTTCGAGCTCCTTTACCGACACCCGACTTTAGTGGTAGGTAGNGGGACCTTATAAGATTCGCCACTCCAAGTCCTGGGGGCTTAGGTTAGCGTTTTCCATCACTGAACAGCAGGTCCCCGTGACTATGGGATTCGCCCCGTCCGCTGTTTATCATACGTGTGTAGTAGAAAAAATAAAAAGTAGTTGAATCCATTGTGCTTATGCAGTGGATCGGCGGTTGTTTTCTATGCTGGGATATGCATGTTTACTGACAGGACCATGAACAAAACGTAAACACACACACGTCTGAGTCTAAACTATGTGCCAAACAGATCACGCTCCAATGATCTTTGTGGGCGGATTACTGCCAGATTGCCCAAACCAAGGCCAAGGCATACACAGAATCAGAAACGTACTATGATATGACAAGAATCGACAGAACTGAACTAAGGTAGACAATATTCTTGAAAAGATATATGCGATTGGTCTTTTTTGTTCCCGTACGTCGTC